TTTTTGGGGGGGGGGGGGGGGAGAATAAGCATTTTCAAGCATGATTCACATACCTATAAAATTTGTCCGGAAATATTTTCAGATTCTGAATATTAATCCAATATTCACGAGGTCCACTGAGGCTCAGTAAAGTTGCCTTTAAATAGCTTCATTCGATTTTTAGGGATTTTTTTTTCTTTTTAATCCGATTCAAAATGATCAAAATCGAATGGAGCCAACTTCATCCGTATCCAGTGCATGGATGCAAGTAAACAGCTTTACACCCGTACGATTATCAAGTGTTCCAGGCAAAGGGGAAATACTAAAACATCTCTATGAACTAGTGTTTCCAACTCCACCTTGCCCTGAAGTGCTAGCCTTACCTTTAAACTAATGAAATAAGCATGAACATGAAAGAGAGGGAGCAAAAGTATTTCGGAATCTATTTACATCAGAGGTGTAGGGTTACTTACAATGCTAATATTTGAAATCAAATCTATCACGAAGAGGCTCACTTCATTCACACAGATTAAAACTTCGCTTTTGCAGTTATCGCTGCTTGGAGTCTCAGCTCAAAGCCACGTGAAAAAAAAAAAGAGTATCAACCTTCCGAGAAACTGCATATTTTCAGCTTTTAAAAAATAAAAAAAGGAAAGTTTTCAGGTCTGCATTTGGTAGAGCTAGTAAAACATAATGTTGAATCTCCAGGAGCATTGTATTCTATTGGCTGGTGATGCTTTCAAGTCCTTTTGAATTTCTCTTTGAAAACTCGTAATCGTGATACTTGACCAAAGAAAATGAATTCCAGAACCGATGAAAGGGAATCATTTTCAGCTGCGATCCAAGACCCGGTAAAGTTTGAAAGACTTTCTTTCCGTTCGTCTAACGCACACCCTAAAGAAGGAATTCATATATCAAGAAGTTACTTTTCCTAGGAATTAATTTCTCCACTGCATACACTAAGTTAATTGTTAAACAGTAGTTTTAGTATTAGCTTGATCATTAATACCAATAAAGATGTTCATAGAAATAGTTTTTTTAAACCAATGGCCAGAGCTAGCGTTAAGGCATTTAAGCTGAAGCTGAACCCCTGACTTATGATTGTGATTTATTGCTTTTGTAGTTTCTATTTGCTCAGGACTGCAAGTTCTAAAGCTATCTTCCTGCTTTTGAGTCAAAGCAGTCGATAACTTTTTACAAGAGACCCAAGGAAGACTTACTATGCTCTTTTAGCTTCTGCTTCATTATGCATTAATTTCAATTGCATTATTGACAAAAAAAAAAAAAACCTTTGTGCATGTGTGTGTGCATGTGTCTTTTATGAGACCTAAAAGCACTTTATTGAAATCAGCTAAAAATTCTTCTTCGCATATTTCACCCTTGCTTTAAATTTAGTAAGGTTAAAGATAGCTTTAAGAGCTATGGAGGTGTAGATGTTGTGTGTGGCTAACGTGCTGTGTTTTCTCAGATATTTCTTCATTCAGGTTCTTGGCGAGCCCCTATAACTATGGAAGTCACTTCCATTTGAAAAATTGCAAATTCTCCTTCTGTTTTAATGTCACGCTGATTCTGTTGTAAAGTCTACTAATATTATTGATGGCTTTAACTTCCATCTGCCTCTTAGGTTCCACTTTGCAATCAAAATCAGATTATCTACAGTTTGTCCATGAGGTCCGTAAGTGATAAAATTCACTGCACAAAAATTATCTTTCTATCCATTAAAGCAGAGGCGAAGATGCAAAATGGCAACAGAAGGAGAGCCTGAAAGTTTCTTAAAAATTCTAGAGCGGGGCTTGGAAATATTTAAATGAATCCATGTATTGTAATGCAAAATTATGACAAGAACTTCCCAATCTTCAGTCACCAACCTGGAACAGTGACATTTTTTTTCCTTAACTGTCTTCAGCAAAGTTCTGTGAAATCCAGGTCTCTTTTGTTATCTAAAGTACTGTGTAAATATTAAAAACTGATCAGCCTTAGGAGGAAGTGTATGTGTTCACATTAGCAGTTCATTTTGCAAGTTGACTTGGGGGAGGTGTGAGAGTGATTCTTTTTTCCTGGAGAGTCAGATCATTTCTTTCCAATTTGTTTTCATCTTTAGAAACCTATAATTCTGTGCATCACTCAAGCAGTTGTATAGGCAATACGTAAGTGCAGGTTTAACAGGAATGTCCCAAAAGATGTTGCAAAATTCGGATCCACCCCAGTGAAAGAAGACGCATTCTGCATAGTGTGTTACAAGGACAAAAATCAACTACAGTATTAGAAGAGACTCTTTTTTGCCTTTGTCAGGTAATTATAGCTCTTTTAAGTTTCTACAGATGCCCTGATGTAAAGTGTGGGTGTTAAGCAAGACCCATACAATAGCAGTATAGAGAAGGCGGTGGGAAAGACTGTTAGTCATTAAGGAGTTCCTTATTGAAAGAATGGTATGAAGATTTGACTTTCTTACTGGACTGCGAAGCCCACCGCTGTTAGATGTGGTTCAGTGTTGCAGGTCAATTTAAGGAAAAGTCAGTTAATTAGGGTTAATAGAAAAGTGCAATGTAATCCCATAATATGGAAACAATTCGTCTTACCTTGCCTGTGATTTTGTGTAAAGAAATATTAGTGTGGGAGAAAACAAATGCAATCAGCTCCATCGCCTGATACATATTTTTTTCTCTTAAAACTCTTCTTTAATGGGTTTGGTGGAGGCTTTCAAAATCAGAGGATTGCGCTTAGAAACCTTGTTCCTTCACCGATTCCCTATTTCAAATAAAAGGATTTAAGTTGACGTATGACCACGTGAGCACATAATACAGCGCATTATTGTGGCATTTGGAGTGGAGACCCGGGCTGGCTTCGTCTGTGATTACGCTTTTCCAGTTTCTGTTCAGAGCAAGAACTGCTTTCTATTATTCCCCCCCCCTCCCACCACCCCCTTCCTCCCTTGCAAGAGCCTGCCATTTCGGTTTGCAGCCTTGGGTCCTTATGGAAAGATTCTTGGCGAGCTGATAGGACGCGATGCTTCGTTAGAAAGGATGGATTTTATTTTAAGGTATTTCCGTTGATTGTTCATTTATGTGGTGAGTTATTGCTGGTCAAGGCAAAGGTCAGGAGAAAAGGCTGAAGGGTGTGTGTATGTGTGTGTGTGCGCGCGCGCGCGCGGTGAAATCAAGCTGCCTTCCCCCCTTTGTTTCAATTTGCAGCGGAAAATACCGAAGTATCTCATGGCAGCCAACACAGCAGAGAGTTTCTGATTATTGGGGTTTGGTTTTTGTCCCGTAGAGATGTCGTGTGTCTCGGCTGGCCTGAGCCCCTGCTAAAGCCCCTGTATGCTGCTATTCGCGTGGTCCTTTATGATCAAAAAGGGGCACGGAGGAGGCTTTATTTTGATTATTCTTTTTTACTGTAATGATTGGAGCGGCTTTGAGAAACCCTCCTCGCCTGGGGCCGGGGCTGTGGCTATCTGGTTCTCTGGGCGATTGGTTTGCCGATGCCGGCGCTGGAAATCGATGAGTATGCAATTGTGCTGCCATTTTATTTATGATGCTTAGTGCTACTTTGTTTATCCTGCCAGGCGGGCTGGGACTCGCGCTGCTCGGCGATTCCCTTAGTCTGACCAAACCCGGATGCACCCGACAATGATCTGCCTAGGAACAAATGCTTTATGCCCATAAATCAGCTTCTGGAAATGTGCTTCCCTCTGAGCAGGGCTCTTGGAAAGCCAGAAGTGGGGGCGGGGGGGGAGGGGGTATCTCTTGTAGGAGTAGTACCACTCTCCCTAAATTCTTCTCCCCACCACCGTGTCCTAACCTGCTCTCCAGAGATCGGGTCGAAATGCGCCTTAAATTACGAAAAATTAAAGGGCTACTTGTGTTATAGAGGGGTGCAAATGTTGGGAGGAAATTACACCCACCAGTGGGTTCCAGCTTTGGGAAAGGTCAGAGTGCGGAGCTGTGATTTATGTTTCCAGTGAGCTGGGGCAGGGGGATTGTCTCGATGTTGCTGTCCCATTTTGTCCCAGATTGCTGAGCACTTGTAATTACTCAATTTATGAGCGAGTCAGGGGCAAAAAAAATAAAAATAAAAAATCAGCCTTTTAGAAACAAAACGTTCTTTACTTGAACCAGAAAGGCCGGTTTAAAACTGCCATCCACTCCGAGCAAACGGAAACGGAGGGGTTTTTTTCTTCCTTTTTTTTTTTTTTTTCTGTTTAGCGGCCAATGTATATCCTTAGCTCAGAGCTGGCCCAAAGAAATGCCGTTTTTCTCTCCCCTTCCACCGTGAAACACGGCCTTCTTTCTGGGAGATGCTGAAAGGAGAGCTCTTTCGCTCCCCACAGCGTGTTTAAAAGCTAAAAACTGCCTTCCCGTGTTTTAAATGGGCCAAAACGCGCCGTGCAAATAAAATGTAAGCTTTAATTGCAGCTCAATTACTTGTCATCGTTTCTTATGATTTATGACCCAGTTCGGGCGCATTTTGACCCAGTTAAAACAGTCATAAATAAGCCAGTCCCGCCGCAAAGGCTGCGGGGGCGCGGAGAGCTGAGTGGAGCAGGGCTATTCCGAGCTGCTTTATGCCTGTGTAAACCCCCCAGATGTCGAGTAAACACACAATGAAGTGTCAGCTGTGACTTTATGGCGCTCGATAATATACACCCCGGCACACATTTAAAACAGGTGTGTCCGCAAGATCTGCCGGGGCACTCCGTCGAGGGCGGCTAACCCCCCCGATCAGCTCGGCCAGGACTTTGGGGTACACTTCTTTGGGAATTTCTTCCTACTCTAGAGGAGGCAGAATGTGCTTTGCCCCCTCCACTAGCCCCGAAGTGTTAATACATTAGCTATCCTGGGAGCTTCTGGTTCAGAGCAAGCCCGATAAAGATCTAGCTGGTCTCTCTTCCACCCGGACTGACGACATTCCCGCTGGCCGGGGCGCCCCACTCCCGCCCGCGCCCTCCGGAGAATGCAGCCAAGTCCTCGTCGCAGGACGCAGGGCAAATGCGTCCCCGGGTCCGACTCCGAGCAGTTTGCTCGGCTCTTACCGCAGAGAGGAGCCGGCCCTCTCCTAGGGAGAGCTGCAGCAGTTTCTCTTTGCGTGGACGCGGCGGTGGAAGGAGCTGCGCGTTTACAGGATGCATCGAATGACAACCGGCCGGGGGGGCAAAATAAGAATAAATCGCCGCCGTATTTTCAAATGACAGAGTTGGGTAGTGAGAACAAGAGGCGTCGTGCGAGGCGATTAGAGAGGGCTTTTCTGGCGAGATCAAAGGCATCGAGGAAAATAGCTCAGTAATTCCAAGGGACCCATGTGCGAATTGAAATACCTTGAAAAATCTGCGGCTTAAAGCCAGTATCTGCCCCCTTTTCCTCTCCCTTTCCCCTCCAAAAAAAGTTCCAGCCTCTCTGTATCTCTCGAGTCCGAGCTCGGCATGCCCCCATCTGAAAGCCCGGGAGATGCTGAGCGGAGAGTCTAGTGATCCAAAAGCGGCACCGACGCCCGAGCCCGCAGACCTCTGCCATCTCCCCAGTCCCCCCGCTTGCTCCAGGGGGGCTCTGGGGTTGCCTCTTGCTATTTTAGGCGGCCGCGGGGAGAAAGTCAAATCAGCAGTTTCCGAAGAAAGTGCGGGGTTGATTATTGACTAGAGAGGCTTTTCTTCCCCCGCACCCTCGGAGGGGCGGCCGGGAGCAAAATGCCTACGAGGGAATTTCTGCCTCTTCTCCCCTCCTACGCTGCCCGGCTTCCCCTTTCATGTGGTGCCATCGGTTGTGCCACACGGAGCAAGTGTTTTCTGTAGCAGCGCTCTGTTTACAGCTCGGGTGCATGAAGTCATAAATCTTGTATAGCCATAAATGACAAAAACCATTGGTATGCAGAAGAGGCCACCCTGGCCTTAGCCTGCTTCTTATTTCTCGCTTCTCCCTGGCTTTGTTCGTGCTTTAAGGTGACACCGTGCTCCCTGGCGGCTTCCACGCACTAGTTCTATATATTTTTTATGCCTTAATTAACGAAGTAACGACAAATTTACGCCCGGTAATTATTCTAAATCTCCATTTAATGTGTTTCGCCCTCGCCGGCTACCTCCGGCTGCGATACAGGCTTCAACTCGATGCGCGGGGGGTGGGGGGTGTGGAAGCGAAAGTGTTGCCGTTGTGGCGGGGGTCACATTTTACTGCTGGGACACTTGGGTAATTAAAAACAAGACAAAACAAAACCAAACCCACTGACTCAGGCACAAGCTGCGTGCAGGCTGCATATGTGAGTACAGACCCGCGCACGCACGTGCAGGGTGCATCTCCGGGGGGGGTGTACACATGCACAGGGGAGAGGTGACTCTGAGCTGCTCTGTACGCGGGCACGGGGCGCTGTGCATCTGTGTGTGTGTGTGTGGGGGGGGTCCATTTCTCTGAGTGTACATCCCTGTGTGTGTCCACATGTGTGCGTGGGGACACATCTGTGTGGACGTGTGTACCTTGCTCGGTGCGTGCATCTGTGTGTGTGTGTGTGCATGGAGGTGGTGGGGGAGGTTGCACACCTCTGTGTGTCTCTTTCTACATCTCCGCCTGTGTGTGTCCATGCGTGCGTGTGCACCTCTCCCCGCGCGCGTGTACTCACGCGCGCACCAGTTAATCATTAGCCCCTGTAATCATTCCCATCCTTCCTCCCGGAGGGGCGCGCGGGGGGCAGGCGGAGGCTGCGGCCCCAGGCTGGGCTGGGCTGGGCTCGGGGCGGACTTGCTCCCACAACTTTTCGGCGCCCGGGAGCTCCCGGCAGCGGGCCGGGGCCGGGGCCGGCTCTCCCCCGGGCACCC